AGATAGATAGATAGATAGATAGATAGATAGATAGATAGACAGACGGACAGACAGATAGATAGACAGAAAGACAGACGATAGATAGACAGACAGACATAGATTGACAGACAGACGATAGCTAGATACCATTAGCTGCAGGTCGTGGTGGTCTTGCAGATTCAGTTTGTGTTTTATTGCTGGATTGAAGCAAAGGTTCTCTCTGTAAGTGATGGAAACCAAAATAATACTTAAAGAACAACTTCACAACTAAAAGAAGAGAAAGACCATTTTAAGTGAATAAACTTCTGCTGCACCGAATATAACACATCACACACGCACAGGTGACTAAACAGGAATAATCACTAGATCATCCAGACAGAATTCCACATTCTTCTCCTTCGCTTAATGTTGACTTTCTGTCTTCTCAAGCTACACATGAGCTGCTTTCCAGTGAGAGAAAGCCTTGTCCTCAACTACTGAGGCGTGAAGACAACAACACTGGCCTACTAAATGACTTCATATACTGAACTCTCAGTGTTTTTCAAGCTAAGAGCAGTGCTTCTGCCTGCTATAGATCCACCTGATAAACTGTCCTGCTTATGATTCCTGCTGAGTCCTACTTACTTAGGAGATTTCAAATGCATATTTTAATTGTAATCCACCTGTAAAATCAAAGAACCATAAAATAGCCTCCTACCTCGTTCTCTCCATCGGGAGAGGAGAAACAACATCCCATCTTTCAGCACGCAGGAGTTTCATTCCCAGAAAACACCTGAACTGAAAGATGGGTGTCGATGACGTCACAGTCATGTGATCCACGTCACGGACAGGTGCGCATGCAAAGCTGAAAAAACTCTTTATTTGACAGAAACAACGCGTGTAATGCACATCCGGTCTGTTTTTATTTATATGAGCTTTATGTTATTTGTGTGCTATTATTTACGTGTTTTGTCAATAAAGCACGAAAATAATCCATCCTAGCAAGAGATACGAATCTTTCAAACTCGTTTAACCAACGAAAAATTCCTTGCATGGTATGTGATGCTTTCATTTTAAGTTTAAGCATCAGTTTAAGACAAATAAAAAAAGTGCGATTTTAAAAAAAAAAGTGCAAAATTAAATGCAAAAATAACGCCGTTAGGCTATATTTATATTCAATTTAAAAGGAATGCAGTAATAATATTCTTCCCATATTTCTTTGGCGCTGAGAAAATAGCAATTCTGAATAATGACTTCCAGGGGGAGCCATTGACTCACTTTTAATGCGCTCTGCTTTTTTATTTTATTTTATTTTTAATATTATTAGGCTTTTGCATCATACTTTCTAAACTTTTATCTTTTAATGCATTTCGTTTTTTATGTGGGCATTGAATGACATTTTCGTGCATGCTTTTTGAAAACGTTTTCATGGTTTTGACACATTGCCATATATGCCAATATATATATATTGAAGAGTTCAGATGCAAAAGCCATCTGAAATTTTCATCTAAAATGAGCATTTCTATCAGGCTCCTATAGTTATGTTCAGTTTTTTTCACTTTAATTGCATAGAAAATGACCTATACATTGCCATTAGAGTAAAATAACTGAACCTACACATAGCAGCCTGATAAAAATGCTCATTTTAGATGAAAATTTCAGATGGCTTTTGCATCTGAACTCTTCAATATATATATAGCCTATATGATAATAATCATGAAAATAAAAATCATTCTATATCAGAAAGTGAAGTTTGCACGAATGAACAGTCAACTGAAGATTTGAGTGCTAACAACACCTTAGGTAACCATTTCAGGAAGCTCACGTGGTTATGATGTCTAAGTAGGCATCTAGTTTGGATTTGAGACTCATGGTCAAAGATGCTGCGTAGGTTATTAAGCAGCTCAATTGGTGTCTATGTTGCTAAAAATGCGCGGCATCTATTGTGACACAGCCACTGGTTTGTCTTTGACTTTAAGTGCCAAGTGCTTGAAAACACAAAAGCGGGCAGCTAAACAAAGCTTAAGCAGCTGTTGGTAATTTGCCCTCTTTATGTGGCGCTACCTGCTGTGCGCCGGTACCGTATCATTTCGCTGTCATCCGCGCGCCGTTTGCTGAGCGCATAAGTGAAGGTTTGCGGAATAAAGCAGTATTGATGGGGGACGTCTCCGGATGCAGGTGTTTGTGCTGACAAACGAGAAAAAGCGCTTCACTAGCTACTAATTGAGCAGAAAACATGGGGGGAAGAACGAGACGTGCATTAGTAGGCTATCTGTGGGCGAAGAGACGCGCATCCAACCGGTGCAATCACACGTCAAATACAACAATAGCACTCAGGATTAGATGAGGCTTATCTTCCAGTGATTTAGCCTAATTCATTTACAGCAGAAAACATGCTTCTGCACACTCCTGCACATGATTAAAGTGACTAGAACATGCGTTTAAACATTGCACTATGCACACAGCTATTATTTTACATAGGCCTATATATTTACATATGATATTGCAATAGCCTATCCACTTTTTTTCAACGCGAAATAGCTATTTTTTGTACATTTGCGAGACTTCCGATTCATTCCATGCTATAGATTATTATAAACTACTCAATAGAGAATTGCAAAAATGAGATTGGTATACTGTAGCTTTTTATTTTTTTGGTTATGTGTAATTTATTGTATTTTATGTACTGTGCTATGTGAGTTTAATGTTGTGCACTGGCCATGTCATGGTTGTCCAAGATGAATTTCCCAGAAATGGGACAATAAAGTATATTCTATTCTATTCTATTCTATTCTATAACAAAAGTGCAGTAAGCGGTAAAACTGTTTTATGCTGCAAACCAGTGTGTTTAGGATTACGATGATACATTAATAGAAAAGTTTAAGGACATATAGAAAAAATATCAATGAAATATCAAAAATGTTTTTTCTCCATTTGTTCCGTATGCTCCAACTAATGACATAAAAAACAACAAAATTCACAAAACTCTTTTTTTCTGGTTCTCAGAAGGATAGTATGGGGGGGGGAAACATGCCAGGAAAGTCGATGGGGACCATCAAGTGTTATATATCTTATATATCTTCATTTGTGTTCAACAAGAAAGAAATTCATACAGGTTTTGAGCAACATGACAGTGTACTCAAATATAAAATATAAATAAAATATAAATTAATATAAAAAATATACGTCTATTTGACGTCTGCATTACATCTGCAAGACGTATTTTTTAGTGTTTAACATCTGCAATACATCTATAGGACGTTTTCTATCAGATGTCAAATAGACGTTTAGAAGATGTCATTAAAGGGGTCATATGATGCTGCTAAAAAGAACATTATTTTGTGTATTTGGTGTAATGAAATGTGTTTATGCGGTTTAAGGTTAAAAAAAAAGCACATTATTTTCCACATACTGTACATTATTGTTTCTCCTCTATGCCCCGCCTTTCTGAAAATTTTGAAAATTCGATTTTTACAAAGCTCTTCGGTCTGAAAAGCGAGGTGTGCTGTGATTGGCCAGCTATCCAGTGCACTGTGATTGGCCGAATACTTCAAGCGTGTGACGGAAATGTTACGCCCCTCACATACTGTGATGCTGCTCTGTCAGGCCGGAGCGAATGACTCTTAACTTTTATAAAGAATATCTCTTTGGATTTGAGACTTTAGTCTTTGCAACTTTACAGATCTTCTTTATGCACCAAGAGCTTGTAACACTCCAAAGAGAAAGGACAAATTGAAATCGCATCATATGACCCCTTTAAGATGTTTATGATTTAGAATGCATGTAAAACAGACATCTATCAGAGGTTTGTACACATCAGATGCTTTCTAGATGAAGCGATCTTTATCAGACATACATCTGCTATCTGGGAACCTAGAGAGCTATACTATAATACTAAAGGTGCGTTTATAAATGCAATATGCACTTTATAGGTGTATGCACCGCTATTCATTGCCTGTGCACGCATAGAGTGAATGATTTTTCCCGCGAAACTTCAAAGCGCCGCATTCTGGACTGTTACATTGCGAACGCGGGGGGGGACGCGGTAGCATTTAAAGTTGAGAACGGAGACTTTTTCCTTATATACTCTATTACCTGTTTATACTTATAATATATGATATGCATTATGCCAATAATGAGGAATTCGAAGTGAGATAATGACATGTTTTGTGCGCACACAAGCACCCCTCCGGTTCCACACAGCCTCCCGTCCGCTCGTGTTGTTTTTTAAACCTTTCATTCATTAAAGAGTCCCACACACTGATAAGCACGAGACACCACTTTAATTATTAAAATGATCAAAACCCGCAGAGCGTCTTTGAAGGTAAGAAATGTGATCTTCTAGACAAACAGCGATGGACACGAGAGCTGATGCACGGCATGCACACACACACACACACACACACACACACACACAGTTACATTAGTAGCAGTGAGCATCGTTTAAAAAAACACTTGCATGAATGCATATTTAATGAGACAGAACCTGATCATCAGCAAATGTAGTAAAACTTGAGATTAAGCTGAAGTTAGGGTTTAATTGTCTGTTGTTTATGCATGTTTTCTAGATATTAAAAACTTTGTTTTGAAGTTATGCATATGTTTTGATGTCTGCATAGTTATAGTTTTTAACTTATAGTTGTTGTTATTATCTTATTATTGTTGTAGGGCATTATAATATTAACAAAAATAATTATCAAAGTAATCATGTTATGCATTGTGTATTATTATTATTATTAATTAATAATATATATATATATATATATATATATATATATATATATATATAAAACTCTACTTTCAGGCAAAACAGCTGGACGTAACAGATCTGTCAGAGGACAGCAGAGACCGCATCCAATTAAAGGGATCCTGGAAGCCTGTTAGTATCATCTACAGTGTCAGAAATTAATGCATATTAATAATATTGGGAACTGATCTGCAGGAGAATATTTCCGTTAATGTGTGCTTTTTTGTTTCTAAAGGTATAAAAACACACTTTGTGCTGTTGTATACCAGAATCTCCAACAGAATCAGTGTATTGAAATTAATTATTAATGTGAACAATTATGGCACATATCATGATACAAAAGTAGCTGTAAAATTATGCAACATATATATATATTATGGTTTTTGTTACTATTTTAAATTACATTTTAATATATATATATATATTAGTTTTCACTTAAATATTAATGTTTTTTTTAACTAAACTTAAACTAAAACCACAAAAAATTGTTACTTGAAATGAAATCAATGTTACTTGAATAAAACAATAATTTTTTTAATAATTTATTTAATAATTTTTAATTTCTATATAGTATTTATTTATTTATTTAATAGTTTTAAACTTTAAAAAAGTTTAAAAAAATTATAAATTCATATATTTGCATATATATGTAATTATTTATATATTATATATTTTTAAAAATTGATTTTCCAAACTAAAACTACACACACAAAAATGTTACTTGAATAAAACAATACATTTTATTATAATTTATTTTATAATTTTTAATTTCTATATAGTATTTGTTTATTTATTTAATAGTTTTAAACTTGAAAAAAGTTAGAAACAATTTACAAAAATAAATAAATTAATATATTTGCATATATATGTAATTATTTATATATTATATATTTTTAAAATTGATTTTCCAAATTAAAACCACACACACAAAAATGTTACTTGAAATGAAATGTGAACTGAAAAATAAATACATTTAAAAATATATTTTTTATCGTTTATTTCAGTTAACACTTATTATATTTCAAGTAACAATTATTTTTTGTTAAAAATCGAGGTTTCATTGACCCTGATTTTCTGTGTTGTACTTGTCCAAGATTTTATTGAACGAGTGATCAAGGGAATTTGTATATATATATTTCTTTGTGTCGCTGGATAGCTTTAGTAAATCACAAGTTAAGATGATTGAGCTAGAGTTGTCTTTCATTTGCATTTCTGAGTTCGTATTAGAAATAGAAATATATCAGAGAAAATAAATTCATATATTTGCATATATATGTAATTATTTATATATTATATATTTTTAAAATTGATTTTCCAAATTAAAACCACACACACAAAAATGTTACTTGAAATGAAATGTGAACTGAAAAATAAATACATTTAAAAATATATTTTTTATCGTTTATTTCAGTTAACACTTATTATATTTCAAGTAACAATTATTTTTTGTTAAAAATCGAGGTTTCATTGACCCTGATTTTCTGTGTTGTACTTGTCCAAGATTTTATTGAACGAGTGATCAAGGGAATTTGTATATATATATTTCTTTGTGTCGCTGGATAGCTTTAGTAAATCACAAGTTAAGATGATTGAGCTAGAGTTGTCTTTCATTTGCATTTCTGAGTTCGTATTAGAAATAGAAATATATCAGAGAAAATCCAAGAGCACGGCAGGTCTCCTTCACGCTGTGTATCTCCGATGATTTGTCAGTAGCTGCAACACCGCGCTATTAATAATTGAGATGGTTTTCACACGCTCCGAGAATAATAATGCGTTCTGTCTCTCTCTCTCTCTCTCTCTGTGTGTGTGTCAGGATGTTTGCTTCAGGTCCAAAACCATCAGAGATGAGCTGGCGCAGGCTTTCATGGACACCGAGAGCGAGGGCGAGTTCGAGGGTTTCTCTGCGGACGAGGCTGACTGGAGAAAACCGGTGGTAAATATGACAAAAATAAACCCATGTACAATTGTGATGTCCGGAATATTTGCGTAATTTGGGTTAAAGGAATAGGTCACATAAATTCACTGAAAATGTATTCTCACTCTCAGGCCATCCGAGATTAGGATGAATATGTTTCTTCAGCAGATCTGGAGAAATGTAGCATTGCATCACTTGCTCTGCAGTGAATGGGTGCCGTCAGAATGAGAGTCCAAACAGCTGATAAAAACATCGCAATAATCCACAGTCCATCAGTTAAGGTCTTACAAACATGCAGCTTTTCTCTTTAAGACATTGACTGATGAATTATTGTGCTGTGGATTATTGTGATGTTTTTATCAGCTGTTTGGACTCTCATTCTGACGGCACCCATTCACTGCAGAGCAAGTGATGCAATGCTACATTTCTCCAGATCTGCTGAAGAAACAAACTCATCCTAATCTCGGATGGCCTGAGGGGGTGAGTAAATTCTCAGCAAATTTTCATTTTTAAACTGTTCTTTTAATGCCATGCACGCATTCTATTTCAACATTATTCATATATAATCAAATTCAAACATGCAGAGTGAGGGGTCTGATAAAGACAGCGACGACAACGGCTTTTATTCTGACGGAGAGGAACCGGCGTCTAAAAAGCAGCGCAGCTCTGGACTGTGTGTCGCATTCAAGTTTCCCACCAAAAGAGGCCCCGCCCCTAAACGGAACATTGCCAAAAAAGGCAACAAAGAGGCCACGCCCCCAGCTCCGCCCATCAGCAGGAAGCCTGCAGGAGGAAACAGGAAGCGGCACGAACCAGAACAATCAAAAGAGCCGACTTTATACGACCGTATACGTGCAGAGAGCCAATCAAAACCCTCTGATAACGTGCCCAATGTGGAGAGCCTACTGACCGACGAGGAGATGCAGATACTGAGCAAAAGGGCCAAGAACATTGAAGAAAATAAAGCTATGGTATTATTTTCATTTATTTTGTTTTGAAATAATATTTATAATATAGTTTTAAATGTAGTTTCATTTTTCATATACATTTGTAAAAACTATTTTAATATTATTATTAATAATAAATAATATATTCATATTAATTATTTAATAATAATATTTTAATATTATCAATATTTTAAATGAATTTTGTTTTTAAATAATATTTATACTAATTAAAAAAAAAATGAAAATGGAATTCAAAACAGCATTTTTCATATATATATTTATAAAAAAATATAAATTTTCCTTTAATTGTTTTAAAATAATATTTAAATGAAAATAAAATTCAAAACAGCATTTTCATATATATATTTGTAACTAATAATAATAACAAAATTTTTTAAATAATATTTATACTTAAATTTATGCATTTATTGTATATATTTATAACTAATAATAATAATAGTAATTTTACTTTTTATTAATTTTGTTTTAAAATAATATTTAGATAAAACAAAGAATTGTCCATATATATTTGCAATCAATAATTATAATAATAATTTAATATTTTCTTTAATTTTGTTTTAAAATAGCATTTATATATTTTTTATATAATAATAATTTAAAATAACATTTATGTTTGTAACATTTAATATAACATTAATTAATATCAGTATTGACATGTATTTTGCAACATTTATTCTTTTTAATATAATATTGATATGTATTCAGTTTATTTTTGATCTATTCTTTATAATATCTTGGATGTTACATTAACTTAATACAAATATTTTCTTGCAGCTTGCAAAACTTTTTGCAGACTTGAGTTCTTTGCCAGAACTGCCTTCTAAAACGACACCTACGGTGAGATCCCACAATCCCCTGCACCGAACACACCAGAAAATGCTCTGCTTTCTCTTCATATCCAACCAGTTTAATTACATTTACTTTTTAATGATGGTCTTTCTATGCCCCAATAGAAGAAAAAGAAGCAGTCTACCTCGAAACGGCGGTTCTCAGAGGTTCAGGTCGAGAGACGGAACCCGGGCCGAAAGGCGAGACCCCCGGAGCATTTCGGGATAGAGGTGGAGGAAAAACCGGCTCCTCAGAAGAGAGAGAGCGGACCGATCGACATCAAGCGCCTGATGGAGGCAAGACACACAGATCACTGAACCCATTTCATCAGTCATCTACACTCACTGAAGCCAAAAACATAAACCGCACCAAAATCATCATCGCCACGTTTTTTTCTAAAAAAAAAAAAATTCTAATAAAATATTATGTATTTATTTGATTTTTATCCATTAATTAATTTAGTTAAAAAATATATATATATTTTTTTTTCCAAGTAAAATATTATGTATTTATTTATTTTTATCCATTAATTAATTTAATAAAAAA